TCAGGTGCTAATCTACATGTACACATGTCTGATTCGCCAGTCTTAAATGTTGTGTACATGTGGCTGCGAAGTCGACTGTGTTCTGTTCTAAGGCGTAGAATAATAACTTCCTCTGGTCTGTCTCTTAATGTAGTTTAACGTAAGTTTTGTTCCCAACTTGTTTCCTTATATCATGTTTTTTTTTCTGATATGGTAATCGTCTTGTGCCAGTATTAGTGGCTATCTGAATGATTTGATTATTCTCTTCTTCTGTTGATAAGAGACTGTGATGTCAGGTTAGTTTTCTTTTTCATTTTCATTAGCTAGTTTGGCTCTCCTTGCAATAACGGTCGCTAGTTGGGCGGCGACGGCCACTTAGTCGGAGTTTAGTCCCCTGGCTGCAGTGCAATTACAGAGTGGAAAAGAGGGAACGACACAAATGACATAATTAGGGCTAGGGTTAGGGTTATGGGTAGGGTTAGGGTTTGGGTTAGGGTTAGGGTAATGTGAGTCGCAGCGCGTGGTCCAGACGCCATGTTGAACTCACTGTGTTTTGTGATTCGTGCCTTGTCCTACTCCGTAATTGCACTGCAGCCAGGGGACTGAACTCCGACTAAGCGGTCGTCGCCGTCCAAGTAGCGACCATTATTGCAAGGAGAACCGCTAGTTTTAAACTGTTGACATTTAAAACTGGGAAACATTGTTTTGATTTACTTTTATTCAAAATAATTTTCACAATTGGGACTTACTCTTTATTTACCGAGCAACGCACTCGGCGGTGATTAATTTTGTACACGATATGCCTTTCGTACTTCAGTATATCCCATTCGGAGAACAGCCGTGGTGTAGTGTTTACACCTTTGTGTCTGGAGGTAGCAGGATCAAATCTGAACACCTTTCCCGTGTGGATTCCGGGGCCTCCTTGTTGGAAAAACAAGAATAGACCCACTACCTCCCTAACAAGCATGTCGTAAGAGTCGACTAACTGGGGGCTTCCTTCGAAGTCGGAGTGCATTTGCCTGAGCGGCAAGAAACCAACAATCTGCTTACAGACGTCAGTTGTGTCAAACGGATGTGCACGCAACACTCAGGTTCTGGAAAAATGCTAAAATCCACAGATGGACAAATACCCAGAATTTTCCGCCGGAGTTTACAGTCGGTGAACTGAAAGAAGAAGAAGCAGCAAAAAAAGAAGACACTCTGAACAGATTTACAGATTACTTTGTCTCCCAGGTTTGAATTTCGATAAATAAATATGTATTTCATGATTTATTGTTGATGACATTGTGAATTACTTATATCTGAGCACACCAGTACCGCCTTAACACACGGGCTCGTTGGGCACCTGCCCAAGGGCCCCCACGGGCATAGAGCCCCATGCTGATCTCTGTGTATGTCCAGTGACCATTTACACAACATTCCTGTAAGCGGTTGTTGTAGGGGCCCCAGCACACTGGTTTGTCCAGAGGCCCATAATATTGTTAGGACGTCTGGAGGGAAGGGGGCACAAATCTTTCATTTGCTTTGGCCATCTCTTCAAAAAAGACATTGGCTCGCAGGTCGACCCAGCCTTGAGTGGGTACCGTGTGTAGACATGGGAAGTAAAGACGGCCGGGTGATATTGATCACATCACCCACCAAGTGCCTATAAAATATAGGTCTAGCCCTCTATGCCCAGTGTGTATGAAGCGTGGAAAAGGGTCCTTTACTTACTTAACTAAGGGCATCAAATGGTTTTAATCGGGCCCTGAGACCATAACATTCACGTTGTGCTGGTTGGTTACCTTCCCGCTGAGAACTTCCAACTTGGGTTGCATGGCTCCAATTTGGTGCCACTACACTTCTTATTCTTCTGCCTTTCTAACCCCCAATTGAGCAGAGGCACTCAACCAGCTCATGCCAAGTCGTATCCTTTACTATCGCATGCAGCTCTCCCCTTGCCCTTTCCATATTTTTTTTTTTTAACTCTTAACTCTCTGTCTCCCGTTTATCTGAAATTTTTGCTCGTCATTTAGTTCTATGCCCCTGTGGGTTCCAGTGCAAAGATTTTCTAGTTATATTGTTATAATCTTTTATCAACGTGTGTCATTTCCAACGCGAGCGTCTTTCCTTCATCTCATAATCCAGTGGAACGTGTTTAGTTTTCTCCCAACGTTTTACATTAGGCCACTATTCTTCTGACGGTTCGCGGAGTTCACCCAGCCTCCAGGTAATGGGTACCAGAGTTAACACTCTGGTGTAAAGGGAGAAACCCGCTGTAGCTATGGAGTTGCGTGCGGACAACGACACAGGCGGATAGTGTCTTTTCAGCTGTCCATATTAGCGGCAGAGTTGCAAACAAGAAATGGATTTCAACCGATATTCTGCAGTTGATGGATGAAAGAAGGAAGAAAAAGAATGATGAAGAGGAATGCTATAGAATACAAAAAGAAATAGTGAACAAATGCAATGTGGTTAAAGAAGCCTGGCTGAATCAAATGTGTACAGAGATTGGGGAAAATCACAGGAAAGACTCACATTCCATGTACCAGCAGATAAATATGTTAACAGGAAAGATGACACGTAACAGCACTGGATGTTTAAAATCAAAAGATGGTGACTCAATAATGGGACATAGTAATATAATTAACAGATGGACAGAGTATATAGGGGAATAGAATGATGATAATGGACCAGATGTAGAACTGCAGACCAACAATGATGGTCCACGAAAAAATGACTGCAAAAGTTTGGGATGCAATACATCATAAGTAGTAGAAGCCGCTAATAATCCAGAGTATTTGTGGAATATGGAATGAAGATTTTGTGGAATGTGGAATGAAGATTTTCTGGTTGCGGATTGCGATTTGACGGTGATGTGGGAAGTGTGAGCTTACGGATTGTACAGATCTGTGTTTTGGCTTTGCGGATTGGCTCGCGAGTTGAACGTGGGGGAAAAAGTTCTGGAAAATCCGTAAGCTCACACTTCCCACATCACCGTCAAATCGCAATCCGCAACCAGAAAATCTTCATTCCCCAATCCGCAACCAGAAAATCTTCATTACACATTCCACAAAATTTTCATTCCACATTCCACAAAATCTTCATTCCACTTTCCACAAAAATCTTCATTCCACATTCCACAAAATCTTCATTCCACATTCCACAAAATCTTCATTCCACATTCCACAAAATCTTCATTCCACATTCCACAAAATTGTCATTCCACATTCCACAAAATTTTCATTCCACATTCCACAAAATTACCATTCCACATTCCACAAAATTTTCATTCCACATTCCACAAAATTTTCATTCCACATTCCACAAAATTTTCATTCCACATTCCACAAAATTTTCATTCCACATTCCACAAAATTTTCATTCCACATTCCACAAAATTTTCATTCCACATTCCACAAAATTTTCATTCCACATTCCACAAAATTTTCATTCCACATTCCACAAAATTTTCATTCCACATTCCACAAAATTTGTATTCCACATTCCACAAAATTTTTTTTCCACATTCCACAAAATTTTCATTCCACATTCCACAAAATTTTCATTCCACATTCCACAAAATTTTCATTCCACATTCCACAAAATTTTCATTCCACATTCCACAAAATTTTCATTCCACATTCCACAAAATTTTCATTCCACATTCCACAAAATTTTCATTCCACATTCCACAAAATTTTCATTCCACATTCCACAAAATTTTCATTCCACATTCCACAAAATTTTCATTCCACATTCCACAAAATTTTCATTCCACATTCCACAAAATTTTCATTCCACATTCCACAAAATTTTCATTTCACATTCCACAAAATTTTCATTCCACATTCCACAAAATTTTCATTCCACATTCCACAAAATTTTCATTCCACATTCCACAAAATTTTCATTCCACACTCCACAAAATTTTCATTCCACATTTCACAAAATTTTCATTCCACATTCCACAAAATTTTCATTCCACATTCCACAAATACTCTGGATTATTAGCAGCTCCTACTACTATGTGTGTGTGTGTGTGTGTGTGTGTGTGTGTGTGTGTGTGTGTGTGTGTGTGTGTGTGTGTATGTGTGTACACATTTATGGGCAAAAGGTACGGTTTAGTTGTTATGGAAAAGTGTGTACATACATCTACCATTTCTTCTTCTTCTTTCTTCACTTCCTCTTTTACCGCTGTGGGTGTCGAGGGAGATATAAGGTTCTGTTTCTAGCTCTTCTGGCTGCCTCGACCATAGGCATATCGTGCTGTTGTAGAGTTTCTCTGATGTTATCCTTCCATCTTGTTCTTGGTCTACCCCGTGCTCTACGTCCTTCTTCTCTTTCCATGTATGCTTTGTATGGTATGGTGTCACAAGGCATTCTCTCTAAGTGGGCAAACCATTTTACTTATCTACCATTAACAATTTAATTAAAATTATAACAACTGCATTTCTTCTTCTTCTTTTTTCGCGTTCGGTTTTATATGCTCACTCAGATCAGATCATCAGGGGTGTTGCCTCTACGAACTCGAATGGCAACAGGTCCTTCATGGTTCCCCATAGCTTGCTCTGTACACTTTGCTCTTGAGGCCATGTCTTTTTTTCCTATTTGTAGGTAGAGTGGGTAGGTCTGCAGAATGTGCTCAGGTGTTTATGGTCTGGTCTGACACGCATCTGCAGTTAAATATGGATTAACAATGCATTGTTCCTCTTTTGATCCCATTTTGTGATACTGGGGGCGGGGGGCGTCTTGCAATATACTAGGGGCGAGGGCGTCTTGCAATATAATGGGGGCGAGGGCGTCTTGCAATATAATGGGAGCGGGGGCGTCTTGCAATATACTGGAGGCGCGCGTCACCTGAAAAAAGATTAGAGACATGCTGTAGAAGGAAAACAGGCAAATAACCACACACACACAAATGCATTAATTTTTTCTGCGCTATTAAAAAAAAAGGGGGGCGGGTGGGGGTTGAGGGAAGTTATTCGTATGGAACAACGTAATGGTTTCATATGAACAAAGCTTTTAAATCCGGGTGATCACTAACGTTTCCGTATCGCAATATTGTTTTTAGAACCTTTGATGAACAAAGCCTTGTAGGCCACCCTAAAGTTCTTGTTGAAGACGATGTAGATGACGAAGTTGCAGGAACTGTTGACACAAACGACTGTGCTGATGATGTGATAGGTGACCTGGCAGATGTTTGTGGTAGAGTCCTCGCTGATAGAATACGATACGTACTGGGGTATGACAACCGGAAGTGACGCAATGGCACAGGTAACGGTGTAGACCCCACAAACAGCTAACAAAGTTTTTGTTGTCCGATTCATCGATCCCTTTGCTTGTTTTCCAGTTAGCTGTCTCCTTTTTATCGACGCCATTTTAATTTTAACGCCGATAACAATACAACCGATAAAAGTAAACACTGCTGGAATTCGCATACTCATATATGCCCAAACTTCCTCAATTTGATATACGGTTGGTCTGTCTTGTCTGAATAAGGCGGAACGGACAATAACAAAAACGGTTTTGTTCACTGAAATATCATATTTATCCCCTAATTCAAACCAGAAAACGGTGTAGATAAAATTACCATACCAGAAAATAAAAACTCCAGACACGGCAATGAATGTTCTCTGTGGGGTTATGATTTTTAGAAACTTTAAGTGGGAAAAATACGGTAACTAGGCGCTCTATTGTTATCAACATTGGAAGTGTTAAAGATATCAGTCCGGATGAATAATCAATGATCAGACAGACTTCGGAAAAAATAAATAAAACGGTTGAAGAATAGCGTGAATATAAAAACGACTGTTTACCAAAAACAGTGTAGATGATTTTTGGAATATTGTTGAAGCCAAATAAATACATAACATCGCTGACTGCGAGTCCCAGAAGGAGAATGTTGGAACACTTTCTCCAGTTTTGTTTAGCAAGAACTAAAATACTGCAGACGTTTCCCACAATTCCCACGACAGAAATGGCGGGAGTGACAAACAGCATTAAGATGAACATGGCCAGTTCTGTTTCCCTGTAGTTAAAATGTCGTTATTTCCTTGTGGCTGTTGTTCAGACATGTTTGCTGCCTTTGATACTCTGTTTCTGCTTTCCTTTGATTTTAGTTTGTCCAGAATTTAGTGCTAGTGTCTTAAATCTACGTTGGCGATTTTGCTTTGTTTACTATCGGTTTTGGAAAATTTAAATATTTACGAATTGTTTTTAAAAATATTCCTCTTTTTATAAATATATCATTTCTATTAGTATACTATCATAGTCTTCTGTATATTTGTTGGCATGCAGTCAGATATAGTCACTGGGGGGTAACTGGGTGTGTTTATTTATTGATACTCTTTCACCGTGCACGTTATTTGATTGTGATTTCACAGTTAACACATAGACTAGTATCTTGCTTCAAGAATCAGATACGTTTGTCAAGTATTTGGACAATGCTTTGATTTATTATTTCAAGATGTAGATATATTATTCCTTTGTCATGGTTTATATCAAAAGATGTCCCATATGAAGTATTCCTATATATATTTTATTCCAAGATTCTTGAATTATTAATTTTTTGATACAGTTTAAACTTTGCAATATGTCTATTCTCTCGGCTTATAAATTGAGATGCCGGTTTGGCTGTGTGCCTTAAAGAACTATCTTTTTGTAACAATATCAAACTTCTAAACAACTAAAATCATAGTTCCTTCCCAGCATCATATAAGTCGGTATTATATATATATGTATGTGAATTAACCTACCTCATGAAACTGTGCCATATATCCAACGTTACATTCTTATTCTCGCATTATCGTTTCCTTTTCTCTTTCCTAACGTTAACCTTATTAATCGCAAACATTCAACTTAGATTTTCTGTAAATTTAAAATGGCAGAATCAAGTTCGTTTATTTTTAAATGCCACGAGCAATGTTGAGAGGTGAAAGTGCATAATTTCCCCAGTTATTATTTTTTGTTTAACTAACAGTTAATTATTATAATTTTTTTTTTAAACACTTGAGATTTGTCATGAGCGACAAATTTCTGAGGGTAATTCTGCAGTGGCATGTCAATCAATGAAACTAATAACCGCAATCCAGAACACTACCGCATTTCCCGAATCAAGTCCAGCGTAACATCATTCTTGTTTGTCAATAAAAAATAAGACATTAGGCGCATTTTGTGTTAACATCTTTGTTACACTGTGTTTTTCAGCTGTTTGTAGAGATTTGTCGAGGATTGGCTGTTATTAAATGCATCACACACACACTCTCTCTCTCTCTCTCACACACCACACACACACACACACACACACACACGCACACTTACGTCTCCCTTTTTCTTTACACTTTACATTCTGATGTCGTAATTTGCGAGCCACACGCTATGGAAATATTGAACAAACAATTTACTTCTTGAGTGCTTTTGCAGATTTATCTATGTACTGTAACTGTACAGTAATTGCTGATTGCTAACAGTGTATGGTATGACATGGTAGTATTTCACGTAATTTGTTCGATTTTTTGTAACAGTTAAAAAGCTGTCGTAACAAAGAATACGTGAAATATAGATTTCGCTTTTTAACTCCGTTTCTTTGGAGTACATTGACCATATATTAACAGACCCCGATCATTAGATGTGTAAGTTGTATTTTAACATCGATGGGTAAGTAAGTAGGAATGAAGAGGTTTCAAGAGGGGCGTTAATAATTTCGAAAATTAGTGCATTTGTCCGGTAATAACAATTATATTAACAACCCCCCCTTCCCCCAACTCCAAGTTTAGTTATAAATAATATATGTTTTAAATATTTGAAAAACAACAAAAGCAAGGACATTTTTGTTTTTAATAGCAGTTTGTCCATCTGCCGTTAAAATTGTAATTAATATGATAACATGTGCTTTTAATTATTTACTAAGAACACATACCTCCCCATTGTTATCACATTTTGTTTATGCCTGATTTAGGGTCTTGCCATATACTCAAGGGAGTGCCCTCAAAAAAAAGTTGAAAACCACCTTGCTATATTGACCTGTAGGAGTCGCCGTGGAGTAGCGGCTAGACGCTCGCGTGCAGATCTGAAGGTCGTGGGTTCGCTCCCTAGTGGAGCCAGATTTTTTTGCAAAAGTGACCCTGACTCCCAGGTCGACCTAGCCTTGAGTAAGTACCGGGTGCAGTCCCGGGAAGTAAAGGCAGCCGGCGAGATGCTGACCACATCACCCATATTGTGCCGATTGGTCTATAAAAAATATAGGTCTAGCCCTAAATGCCCTATACGCCTAAAGGCGTAGAAAAGGGACCTTTACTTTTACTATAGGGACCTGTGGGCATGACAGCTCATGGCGACGACGAGTTCGTCCAGCAGGACCTGCTCTCGTCAGAACAACAGTCTTCAGCAAGCAGTGCTTGGGATTTCATTATTATAGTTGTCATCACATGACTTTGACATGTTTCTTCTTAAACGTAGCACAACACCCGGGCAGTGTTGCAGAGATTATGTGTGGCCCATGCAGCATAGTCATTCTCTTGAACTGCTTTGGTAATTCCAAAGGAAGTTAAAGCAACGACGCTTGGAACAAAGCGTAGCGCAGCTACTGCCAGATCAGAAGAACGTGTTTTGTCTGCTCCCCTGTCGAAGCTTCCTTTCTAGACAAGATGCCAGCCAATGGTGATGGTCTGGTCTGCAGTGGCGTCCGTTTTTTTAGGTTGCATTTCCTCGTCCTTGAATAAGTCTGGCACCCTTCCCCCGATTCACTCATCAACTACACGCCGTTAGTACAAGTAGGATGCCAAGCTACAATACAACATTGCAGTTAAAAGAGAACGGATATTGCCGCTAAAAGAGAACGGACATTGCCGCTAATAGAGAACGGACATTGCCGCTAAAAGAGAACGGACTGTGTCGAGCAGGGCTGTCCAAGCTGGTACTGTCGTAGACGTTTGGTTCTATTTGCCCAACATAACTGTACCACGAACGACGTTTCAGAAATTGTGTATCAATATTTTAAAGTCTGCCATTGTGACCGACTGACTGACTTTCAACCCCACCAGGACATCACACAAGCGATAAACACCCGATGACACAAAGTGCCACCATGTGGATGAGGATCACCGTGGAGAGGTCCCAGAAACCGCGTTTAGCCTTTTGACCATATTTATGACCTGGCTATATTGTGGCCCCTGGAAAGAGCCTGGGTGGGGCTTCAAAAAACGAAAAATTTCGTCCTAAAAAGGACGGTAAGTTATATATCTTCCACAGTGTTGAAATTTTTCTTTTTAAGTGACTGATCTAATTGCCGATGAATAGTTTGACGTCATTGACCAAGTGTGCTTTGTTTAAGTTTCAAAAGCCAGTGTAGGTGAATCCGTCTACACGACTTACTGACGATTTTCCTCCATATCATTTGTCGCAGTTTAAACTTAGTTTACCTGATGCTCCAGTTTTTCTGATTCAGTTTATGTCAACGTATATTAGTTAGTTAGTCAGTTAGTCAAGGTTCCAGCATCACCGCAATCGGGTCTACCCATACTTGCTCCGTTCATGTGCCAGCGGGAATCAAATGAAATGTTCCTCACTTGTGCATATGAAAAACGGGTAAATTAACAACTAGTTCCGGAACAATCCAGAAATATGTGCACGCAGTTGTCGTGGAACAGGTTCCTTTTACACTCACTAAAGTGGTGTTATCTTGTTAGGAACCGAGACAACTGTCTTTTGGTGCAAAGAGCAGACAGTGTCCCTGGATACTCAGATACAGACTCGAATTGGCTCGCGAAAGAAGGTGAGCTGCCTGAATATCCCCAGAAAAGGGATAAGGGAATTTAGATGCCTAAACACTTAGACAGAGCAGATTACCCCTCCCGACAATTTCCCTTTCTGGTAATAAAATTAAGCCCCCATCTAGACTATGTATATTTGTAGACAGCACTGACACCATACATACATCTAGAAATAGAAATAAACTTTAACTATGAGTTTAAATCAATCATAGGAATGTTTATTAAAATTAAAGTAAAATTCAATCATCTATTTACTTGTGAAAATACATTATTCAAACTAAGTAGGATGAAAGATAAAAATGATAGTAACATGAAACTGTCGTCATGAGAGGATCAGTGGGAAATAACATACAACAATTACCACCTGGAGTTTCCCAGAGGATCATTCCAATTTCAAAAGACTGAGGTGGGAATGTCGGATCTGTCACAAGCACAAGATCTTCCCTTAGGGCACTCACAATCATAGCTACAAACCAGCCTGGCAGTGGTTTTGGAAAGCTCGTCTGCCACAAGGAACAGGGATCTGTCCTCGGCTTTTCAGCAGCTGGATTTAGATGTAAACTATATGGTCATGCTGCTAGGGTTTTTAGGCGGCGAGAAAAGAAAGACCAAAGTTCTGCCAAAACGGGCCCGCTCTAACACCTGCTTGCTGACCTGAAGTAAAATGGCTGGCAATCTTGTCTCACTTTGGCCCGGTGTTAGGTTATAAAACCCGGAGAACGCCTCACTTTGTGAGTGACTGGTGACAAGTTTCCGAGGACGAGAATCCACTCTGTGAGTGGGGTTCTATCCGGACGAGCCCCCAATCTGTGGCGGGTAACTTCGCTTTAACTAGCGAATGCACTATGTGCACTTTACAGAGGGAATTACAAACAGATGAGTCATCATATAGTCTTATAGTAACCCCAGCCTTGCTGGTTAAATGAGAGGATTCCGGGGTTTGCCCACATTCTATTCCCTGCTGTAATTAAGATTGTTATATTAAATGTTTCTTAAGTTCACTGACAATGTTTACAGTTTAAAATGAAACTTCATAAAACTGTAGGAACATTAAAAACTAACATTTATTCAGCATTGGATATCAAAATAATAAACAAAATGGCTGTGGATATAAAATCCTGTTATTCAAGGTAGGTAGTTAAAATCTTAGCTGTAGCTTAGGTCAGCCGGCAGCTTCTGGCTAAGCCTCGGTGACACATCAGGCAGGCCGAATCTTCCAGTCCAGTCCGG